TACATGATCACAGTCAAATTCTTTACAGTATTATAAAAGCATCACTAAAGTTAATAATATCACTTAATAAAAAAAATGTATGCTAAATCGAAGTTCTTTAACTACATTCAATTGGCTGTTATTGTTGCGTTATTAATTATTTATAGTAAATTGTGCTGATACAGAAATGTAATGACTAATATAATAATATTCTTATAATGAATTTCTTTTGCTATCTTCACAGTAAATCGTGTGTAAAATTAAATATGTGACCAGGACAATTTTGCTTAAAAATTACTTTAAAAGTTTAGATATAAAAGGTTCAGTTATAATACTGGTATGTTGTCGAAATAGATTTAAATAACAACTTTGGTCGTATTTTGGTGGTTATTTACATTAAAAGTCTCTAAAATGGTGAATGTAGTGAACTCCCTAAAACACCACAAAACCCTTTTGAAGTATTAATATGGTTTAACAGTACAGACGGGTACGGTTGTGCCAGGTTACTATAGTGGCAATCGCCCTAACAGTTAAACTATACTGATTTTGAGATAGGGTTCAAAGGAAGAAGATGAAATTGTATTTTTGTTCGAACAAGTTTCCATTATTGCTTTGAGCCAGCCTACATTCACATGGGGAGAGTGTTCTTAAAAATAACAATGTTATTTAAGAAAACAATAAAAAAGAAGGTTTTCCATATAAATATTTTTCTTTTAATCAGAATTGCAGACTTTTATTTTTTGATTATATGTACAACTTTTTTATCTATGATATTATATTATATATTATATTTTTCGATCTTATATTTTTGGCTTTTGAGCCTTGTATAAAATTCTATTTCACTTTCTTGATAATTGATTTTAAAAAAATCACTTTTCATTTGTTTTCACAATTTTTGGTGATTTACCTTTTAATTTTCAAAAAACCGGGACAATCCGGAACAAAAGATCTAAATCCGGGACAAATATTACGTTTGGAACAAACCGGGACACAATGTGAAAATTTGGGACTGTCCCGGCCAAACCGGGACGTATAGTCACCTTATAAATCATAACTAAAATTATTGCTGATAAAAAAGTGCAACAACCGTACTGGATCTCCCCTATTATGATTAGTTAAAAAAAGCTACTAATTTTTAACCACATTTTTAATTTTTATAGAGTTCTTTACTTCTGCATTCTGCAGTTGAAGTATAAAATTGTATGCGTTTTTACCACATCACTTCTTGGATTTCGAATGTATTATGCTATCATAATTGATTGAATACTTGGGGCGAAATAAAAAATATTAATGCGTTGAAACTGATATTTCAATAAAATCATATTTAAATGAAAAATTTAATTTTAAAAATTTTAATCTGTAAGTAATTTTAATATTGCTTGAACTTCAGCATCACCATCACGAATAAACTAAAAGTCCAATACATTGTTTGTAGAAAAAAATATACATTTTTCACATGTATAAGATCAAGTTGTTTACGGTATCATGCATAATAAAGCAATACATATGGCACTCAAAATATTATAAATTCCTATACCTAGTATATTACAATTCTTAAACTCAAATGCTAGAAATATAGACATTTTTCACTTTATGCTACACCTACTACATAAGTTATGAGTTTATATATTTAATTTGAACGACGATAAAATTCACAATAATAGTAAGAATAACAAAAAAATTCAACACGATTTTTAATACTTTTATCTATAAACTCTAATACTTGTGCAGTTTTTGTGAAATCAGTCTTGCAGAATTACCGCAAAAATAATTAACAGAGATAAATAATATTTAAAATACACATATAAAATATATTAATTTGATTTAAATTGAAATTTGATACTATTATTATTTGTCATATATTCATGAATTAAAATATTATAGACAAATCATACTAATATAAAAGTGCTATTAAAATATATTAATTTATTAGCAGGTAACTTAAAACACTATGAGATTTTCTTCAATAAATAAATTTCTGCAGTATTTACACAATAACTAAATTGTTTAATAATACACGAACGCTGAGTTTTTGAAGCGAATATTTTAAAACAGTTTCAAAACGTGGGATCTCACATGAAATCTTCAGATATATTACTATTGCCTAAGATAATTTTCTTTGAATTACCTTCAATTTTGGAGCTGCAATTAGACAAACCGAATCGGTAAATTTGCTTTTAAGCAAGGTTGGAACTGACACACAAAATTGCACCTTTAACCATAGGCATATGGTGCTGCTATGTCGAAATTAATTTTCTATCGAGAGATCTATGACGATCTGCATGCTTGCAAACCGCTTTTCATAGGATTCTGTAAAAAAATGTTAAAAAACAATTAAATATTTATCAAATGTTAAATATTATCGTACTTGTCTTCCTAAAAATAAACAGAATTCGAAGAATGCATAATACTATTAAAATATATTTCATAAATATGTATACTCCTAGACAATAAAGATACATATCATACGCCCAGTGCACATGACACCAGATTTCTTGAATATTGCCAGGACAATACAAACCAAATTTTACGATATTGCCAACCATATATTACGTTTAAGCTCGCTTTTTACCACGGCATTATCCTTAACATATTTCTGTCTATAACTTGTTGCCTAGCACAGTCGGAAAATAGTTTCACACCGGTCTTAGTAATCGAATTCTTTTCCCGTATTTTACGAATAGAGGGTGTCCTATTACTAATAGGACACCTAATAGGTTATTAGACGATGGATGAACTGTTAGGAAGACAACACTTTCTGCCAATTACAAAGAAACGGCTTGACCTATCGTTGCGCAAAACTGATCAACGATAGTTCTTATCGAGTTACATCGAGTGACTGAGTTTTTTATCACTGTTTCATATTATACATTTTTATACGAGTCTATTTATTTATTTTCCTACGAGAATATGCAGTAGCAGCTCTGTTCCATGTTACTTCCATATACATATTTCTGTTAAAAAGTCTGGTTTTGATGAAAAGCATTTATAGTAAGTGTACCATATTCCGGAATTGACTAAACGTTTGACTTTAAAGATGATTTTCAGAAAAAGTAGGAAAGCGAACCAAATATTTAAAACTGTTCTATTGATAGATTAGACTTATAGGATTATTATAAAACAACATTTTGCATCGTAGAACACGTCATTTATAGAAATGATCTGTATTTTGCCGAAACACGTGTGTTCATTAGCCAAGTACTTTATCACCATATACAGTTTCATAAAAAATGACGAATCTTTATTAAAAACTTAACTAAAATCTTAACTAAAAATCAACACATTTCCAGAAGATATCTTCCAACTTATTAGATAAGATAGAATTTAGAATTTCAAAATTGGTTCTGAAATTTTCGCTCACATGTGGACGAAAAAATTGCACTTGTACTTATTCTCTTCAATTTGCACTAATTCTAAAGAAATGGTTCAGCCGGTCGTATAACCAACAACCAATGCGAGTAAATATCAATCGAATGGCTTTAATTTTTTTTAAATCGGCTCAGCCGTTTCGGTGAAAACCTAACAAAAGGTCGAAAATTATTCTTCCGCACACAGAACACACTGTGTCATTTGATTCAGAATGAAACGTTGAGAAAACATAAAATTAGCAAATCGGATATTCTGGCGAAAACAATCTTTTCCTTCGAAAGTTTGTGAGTGAAAAACTTGTGTATTTTTATTACGAGAGAGTAGGTATTAACTTTCCGTAGGGTAAGTTATTGTAATGGGCCAAAAATCGGAATCGAAAATTTTTACATTTCTCGACGTTTTGAAGGGTTTCTGAACATTT